AACACCCCCTCCATCCCTCCTCATCCCACCTCCCCCCCATCTTCCGCCTCGTATCAGCATCCAAAATCTGCCCCCCAACCCACCTCCTCGTCTCAGGAACCTCCTACATACAGGTAATCCTCTCCACATCCTGCACCTCCCTCACTTCAAAGGTCGAGCCCTCCCACGAACTCGGATAGCTCTTCGCCCCGCTCACCGCCTGAGCCTCCTTTAGTGAGGCGAGTTCCCTCGTGTAGTAAGATGTATTTTGGCATGGTTTTGAGGGGGTGAGGGGGATGAGGTGGTTGGGAGTGGGAGTGTAAATTCTGGTTGTGGGTGTAAGGAATGGCGAAGGAGGAAGATCAAGAGAAAACTAAGATCGAATTAAAAGAAAAAATAAACGCTTCTATAGAATCATTGGGTTTATATAAAAGACAATCCACAAATACATATTGATCCTTTCCTGCCCCCGGACACGTCATGCCACTCTTCTACCATTCCCCCGGATCTCCATCCAGTCGGATAAAACCTCCACGAAGCATTATGATATTCCTGGAAGCGTTTTATATATCTTAGTAAACCTGCTCCTCCTGCTTTCATTCCAAGTTTTTCGTTGGAGTTTGGTGTTATCAGGAGCGATTGAGTACCGTTATTGGATGGGAGTACGAGGTTGTTTGGGATGTCATGGTAATTTTACAGGACTGCCTCGCTGCAATTGTTAGTTAGTTGAAGGGGTCTGCTTGTGAAGATATTGTGAGTGTGGTTTTGTGGATGAGGAGATGGATAGGGTGGAGGGGGTTTGGTGGTGAGATGGGGAGTTTGAGATGGGGAGGAGATATGGAAATAAGCTGAGATGAGAGGGTGTTGTTGGTGAGTGGGATACTGTAAGCGAGGTTGATTGGTTAGATTTGTTTTCTTCTCGCTGAAAAGTGATTGACTACCGCACTTGGGCCGAGACGATGTTTATTGGAATTTCATTATATATATTGATATAAGATTCTACGATTCTGAAATTTATTGTCTGAAAAGTAACGATATCGATATCGATGTAATATTGGAAACAATAGTATACTTCACGGCCTGTTCGGCTCAAAAAAATCCTGAATCCAAATCCAGGTTTTAATATACAAATTAGAGTTTAGCACTCGATACGAGTCCTAATTCGTATCGAGTGTTAAAATCGTTCGGCTCGTTAATCGAATTTAAAGCAAATACTACTCCGAATATTGATCTGAATTATTTTGAAATGTCATATAGAAAAGTTGAAAACGGCTTTTTAGCTATATTTAGAATCCCGCCTTCTTAACTCGCTTATTCCACCTAGTGTAAACATTACTACTTTATCCACTTCTTTATATATATAAGCATATATGTACTGTAGATAAAAATTATGAGATCACTCCTTAGAGACGTCGTACATATAATAGAATAAGGGGTGGAATAAGTAGTAGAATAAAACTTAGGAAATTCCACCCGAACGATATATAATTCGAATTATCTAAAATATGACTCCGAGTTAAGCGAATAGAGTTTAGTCGAGTTTTGTGAATCCTAGGGTACGCTACCGAATAATCCAATTCACCCTAATTTAAGCTGAACAGGCCATTAAGGATAAATTAGGTTATATTTTAAGAAATAGGTTGTTTCCAAGTGATACAGTTTTAAAATGGAAAAAACATTAAGACCAAGTAGTAATATAAAAGCTGATATTATTTAGGTAGAATAGTACGATCTTGTTATATTATATGGTATGAAAAGGTTGGGATGTCGCTAATTTCGAAGTAAGACCTTACCAGCCTATTCGGCTCAGATGAGGGTGAATTAGATTATTTAATAGCGTACCCTAGGATTCACAAAACTCGACTAAACTCTATTCGCTTAACTTAGAGTCTTATTTAGATAATTCGAATTATATATCGTTCGGATAGAATTTCCTATATATTTTTTATTCTACTACTGTGAGGGTTGGAACCCATGATGGAGGCTCGGGCCATGCCCTCGCTAAGCACTGACCAAAGTCCCCGCTCAGCATTGGCCATTGCTCCACTGCTAAATTGGTTTCTCCTTTTCTACACTTTTCTACTCTATTCTTTTGACGTCACGTATTTGTCAAACAGTTTCTTGGAAGACTCCAGAAACTCTTCCTCTCTCTATATATAGAGGAAGAGATTGCATGTATGTAGTCTTCACGCACTTCTTAATTGAATATTCGAAACCACACCTTTGAGCTATTCGAGGTCTGGCCTCTCACAACTACCTATTCTACTACTTTTATTCTACTACTTATTCTACTACTTATTCCACTACTTATTCTATTACGTGTACGACGTCTCTGAAGGAGGGATTTCATAATTTATATATAAATATATGCTTAACGTGCATGTATAGCGAACCGGCCAAACAAGCGAACCGGCCAAAATTTTCTACACTCGCGATTGAAATTGTAAGAACTCTACCACAACGCCTCTAATTAAAAAACACTATTCAGAAATTTCTTCCTCAGATACTTCCTCTATAATATTACAGGTGCGCGTATTATGACCAGTCTCTCCGCAGTTGCCACAGCGCCGTGCACGTGATTCTTCCCTCGGCTTCCGACCACTACTTCTCTTTATTTCCTGCATTACCTGCTCACCAACGTCTCTATCATCCTGTAGGTCCTGCGCTTCCTGTTGACTAAGTGATCCTCCTTGCTGTAGGCGTGTTTTTTTGGCTCTACGGCGCTTACTTAGTACTTCATTTGCTTGTCGAAGTCTCTGGTTCTCAGCTTTCAATAGTACTATCTGGTGCATTACTTTTGATGCACCCTTCGTAAACTGGTCAATGGCCTCGTAAATAGGGGTTGGAGAGCTACTTTGGTGGCGTAAAATTCGATCTTTAATAAATGCAGTCTGTGATAAGGCTTCAGTAGGGTTATTTGGTGTCTGGGAAACCCAAGGCTGAGCGGAATACGGGGGGGAGTTTGGAGGCGTTGGCGTCTTTAGCTTAAGATCAAGTGTAGAAATTACACTTTCTGGGTCAAATGGAAGAAGCCCAGCCCCTCGGAACCCTCCTCGGATATTGCTTTCTGTCATTGCAATATTAAATGCGGCGTGGAAGGCAGGAAAGAAATCATCCTTAGTAATATGGATGATCTGAGCCCGCATCATATCTTCAATTTGCTGACCATATGCCCTTTTCAAAGGGCTAAAACAGCCAACGTCGAGTGGCTGGAGTATATGAGAAGAATGAGCAGGCATACAAAGAGTGATAATGTTGTTTTCCTTGCAATATTCCTCAAATTCGTCGGAGTGGTGGCTTTCATGGCCGTCGAGGACTAATAGACGATAACCACCAATAGATTGGGACTTTGTATGCTTCTCAAAATGTCGAATCCAATCCATGCCTTTCTCATTTGTTGTCCAACCATTTTCAGTAATAGCAATCACCCAGTTAGGTGGAAATCCACTGTTTTGGTACCAAGAAGCGAGGTGATTTTTTGCGGCAACAATCACAAACGGTGGAACACACCAGCCTTGGGCATTAACCCCCTGGATTACTGTAACCCATTCCCGATTACCAGGCTGTACTCTTTTTGCTTTTACACGTCCTTCTGAGCTTGTAATAACCATTGCAGTTGAGATAACGCCCATCATAAACCCAGTCTCGTCAAAGTTGTAGATATCTGCATCGTAGATTCCGTACTTCGCTATTGTGTTTCGTACAAGCTCAAACCAGCCACGAATGACTTCTGGATCTTCGCACTTAGCTCTCGGATAGTCGTATTTTCGTTGGAAGCGTGTCTGGAGTTCTGGGCGGCGCTTAACAAAGTTATAAGCCCAACGCGTCCCGACGCGTGGCGCGTCGCGTGCTTCAAGAAGTCGATTTGCTATATCTTCAACTACAGATATCCGCGGAGGAAATCCTTTTGTAGCTAGGTCGAGGATATGTTGAACAAGTACTGATTCCTCTAGCTCGGTCATTTTCCGTGAATTGGCTAAAATATCGCGTCGTGAAGGTATACCAAGCAAACGTCGACCTAGCTTCCGGTGGTCTACAGAATAGGTCCTGGCAGCAGCTCGAGCACGTAAATTTGGGTCTTTTTGCATAGCTTGGATAGCTAAGAATAACCGGCTTTCGTCATTTTTCAGAGGCATCCTTCGTTGTAGAGAAATTTAATATTTCGTGGAGGTGTGGTGGGGTCGCCGGGTTTTGGCCGGTTCGCTTGTTTGGCCGGTTCGCTATACATGCACGTTATATATATAAAGTAGATAAATTAGTAGTGTTTATAGTAGGTGGAATAAGCGAGTTAGGAAGGCGCTAGTGGGCGGGATTCTAAATATAGCTAAAAAGCTGTTTTGACTTTTTATATAAGTTAGGACATTTTAAAATAATTCAGATTACTATATTCGGAGTAGTATTTACTTTAAATTCGATTTACGAGCTAAACGATTTTAACACTTTATACGAATTAGGACTTGTATTAAGTACTAAACTCTAATTTGTATAGTAGAACCTGGATTTGGATTTAGAATCTTTTTAAGCCGAACAGGCCGTAAACTTTTTACTAGTTCGGGACATGAAACACGAGTTTTCCACGTCCTTGCCTCAACTATCGATATTGTATTAATTGTGATCAAAAAGTCCGATATCGTATCGTTAAAGTATTTCCGAAATTATAATTATCGAGGACTCCCCGGATATTCTAAACGTTATTATCTCGTCCAAGTCTGCTGACTGCCTTCGATCAAAGAAGCTCAAGGGAGATGATGATTGAAGGGGATGGGGGTTTCAACTCCCTTCTTTTATTGTTGGACTATCAAAGTCGATGTTGTTGAAATTTACAGTTGTAAAATAGGGAGATTCTTTAATAGACACTTATATACCTCTTTCGTATTGTTACATTCCATTCACGTGATATGTCTCCCCTGAATAAGCTGCTAACCATATTTAGAACCCTCGCCTCGGGAGTTATCCAACGGGCCGGTCAGAGCACCCCCACGTTCTATCAATCCCTGGGATCTAGATCAATCCAGGCACTCATCTAATCCCCTCCCAGAACCCTCTTCAATATCATCATATCAAAGTTTGCCCGCAAACCCAAAAACCATTCGACTCTCTCCCAACATCAATTTTACCAACTTTACACATCCATCATCATATTCCACCAACGGAGGGACGAACGACCGCATCGATTCATCCGGACGCTCGTTGGTCGTACGTATTGGAGTTGGTACTACGCGGCTCAAGAACTTCATTTGTTGATGCGTATGCAGGTGCAGAAGATTGGCGTTTGCGAGATGAGGGGAAGTATTGGTGGTGGTGCAAGGTTGGGATGTTCATTGGGACGGAGCACCATGGTCCATCGATAACTGATAAGGGAAAATATGCCTGTTTTGGAACAACATTTGCGCCAGAGTATTGTTGGAACTTCGATTTCAAATATCTTCCTTTCCTTCTCGTTACCCTACGAATTGTAGCTTGTACGCATTTTATCTTGATTCTGTTGCGCTGGTTGTGCTCGCTGTGGTTTGTTGAACACTTGGGTTCGCGTGTTCAAGATTCAGGGGGAATTGTTGCACTGCATGATCTTCCACCCAATCAGGATTCAATCGTCACGTGTAGTTGACCGATACTACTCACTTACCAGGTCTTCGAGTCTCAAGGTGTTGAGAGTTTGGGTGCTTGTGTTGTGCTACAGTCCACGCATTGCATTTTCAGTCGAGGGGGATTCTCATCCAGAGAATTTCCTACTCGAACGTCTCAGAATCCGGTATCGCCTTACCAAGCATATGCCTCCAGAACCACACCACCGACACTCGCCAATCAAACAAGCAAAGATCATTCGATACAATTAAATCAATTCGATACCAAGAAAACCATTACCATGTCTTCTCAAGAAGAAGCCGATGAGAAAGCAATCTCCCCAGGCATCAGAACCTCAGAAAGCAACGGCACAGGAACAATCCAAGATACCGCCCTCGAAGTCCTCGGCTACACCCCTGAGCTGCAACGTAACCGCTCCCTCTACACATTACTGTTCCAATCTCTCGCCATAGCAGCAATTCCCTTTGGCGAAGGAGGACCCTTCATCAGTGCCATCTACGGCGGCGGCCAACTCTCTATCTTTGTTGGTTGGCTCGTCATCCTGGTACTCTGTGAATGTGTAGCTCTCTCTTTAGGCGAGTTGGCCTCTCGCTATCCCACCAGTGCCGGACCGTACTACTGGAGTTTCCAGATCGCGAAGGGGAAGAAAGTCGTGCTATCTTTTATTACCGGGTGGATATGGTTAATCGGTAACTGGGCGATAACATTATCTGTGAACTTTGGATTCGCGAGTCTGATAATGGCGAGTGTTGCGATCTATCACGAGGATTTCGTGGGGGAAAGTTGGCAACTCCTACTTTTATTTTATCTGATTTGTATCGTTTCTTTTGTTGTCTGTGCATTTGGGAATAGGGTCTTGCCGATGGTGGATACGATTTGTGCGGCCTGGACAGCAATTAGTATTTTCATCATCCTGATAGCGCTTTCTGTAAAAGCGGATGTAGGTCGACACTCAGCTGCTTATACATTAGGGCACTACGACACCAGTCTCTCAGGCTGGGGCGGCTTCACATTCTTCATCGGTCTCTTACCCGCGGCCTACACCTTTAGCGCCATAGGAATGATTTCCTCCATGGCAGAGGAAGTTCCAGATCCAACGACCATTGTGCCGAGAGCAATCGCTCTATGCGTCCCAGTTGGTGGCATCGCAGGGTTATTTTTCATCATACCGATCTGTGCAACGATGCCGGATCTAGTCGATATCATGGGGGCACCAGTTGGCCAGGCTCTACCATACATCTTCCACGCCGTCATGGGATCACCGGGCGGCGGTTTATTCCTGACATTCCTTGTCCTGGGCGTCACAGCATTCTGCTCCATCTCCATAACCGTCGCCGCCTCACGGTGTACCTGGGCCTTCGCACGGGACCTCGCACTCCCCTTCCCTAAAACCTTCTCTTACGTTCAACCTACGTTAAAGGTGCCTGTCAACGCTCTCGCCCTGGTAACAGTCGTCCAAATGTTATTGGGACTCATCAATATGGGTTCCACCAGCGCTTTCACGGCGTTTGTGAGTGTGGGTGTCATTGCACTTGCTGTGTCTTATGCGATTCCCATTGCTATCTCGCTCCTCTGGGATCGGCGAGAGAAAGTTGGGGATGCTCGGTGGAATCTGGGACATACCGTTGGTACGGGTGTTAATATCGTTGCGTTGTGCTGGATTGGATTTGAGGTTGTATTGTTTAGTTGTCCGGGGGTATTGCCCGTTACGCCCGTTAGTATGAGTGAGTCCCCCCTTTCAATTTCCATTATTCAACTTTCGGTCTGCTTCTAGGAGAGTCAATTGCGAGAATTTGTTTTCGAATGAGACGTCGATCATCGTCTTTACTTTGTCATCTCCCACCCTCAAAAGCCCGCCCACCTCGGCACCATCTCGCTTATCCCTTACCCCCTTTTCTTTTCGCAACCTAAAGAATATGCATATCATAAACAAACAAACTGACCAACCTCCAAAACCATAGACTACGCCAGCGTCGTGCTCGTCGGATTCGGTACCATGGCTACAATCTGGTACTGGGCATACGCACGAAAAGGTAAGATTCCCTTTTCCCCTAACCCCTCTCTTTACCGCCCGTCCCCCTACACCACATCGACCTCCAATCATCCCAATCCACAACCCACCCAATAAAGAAAAAGAGAAAAGAAAGAAACGGAAAAGCAAAGAAGAAAACGTAAAACAACAGAAAATCCCGCTGACCATTTATTCAAATAAATAGTCTACATCGGCCCCCCCACATCCGACGGTCTTTTATAAAATGAACCTTCTCTTCCTGGCTCTTGTTCTTATCCCTATTCCTATTTCTGTTCTATATATGATATCAGCTTGATGTACGAATAGTAGTATTGAATCTATATCGTGATATTCGAATTCCAAATTTCTTATCTATAAGTTATACTAAGCTTCGTAGCCGTATCTCTATCTATTAATCTAACTATCTAAATATATTTTATTGAATCATCGTGGGCATTATGTCACGAATCACGTGTTGGCATGTGATAAGCAAAGACCAGGCGGCGTCCTGACAGGTTAAGCACCAGCAACACACTCTTATAGCAAATAGGGATGCTTAGGCTAGCTAAGCGATCCAGGGATTTCATCTGATAGAAGTCATGTGACCGTCATTGATCATTGGTGATCAACTGAGCAACGCTGAGCTGGATCAGTGGGATCAGGGTGATCATAATGATCAACGAGCAAGAAGTTTCTATATAAGACTGGCACGTCTGCCATTAGATAGGAGCTTCGTGCTCAACTTAGTTATCGATCTTATCATATTAGTTTGATTGATCATTGGTGATCAACTGAGCAACGCTGAGCTGGATCAGTGGGATCAGGGTGATCATAATGATCAACGAGCAAGAAGTTTCTATATAAGACTGGCACGTCTGCCATTAGATAGGAGCTTCGTGCTCAACTTAGTTATCGATCTTATCATATTAGTTTGACATCTTTGATACAAGTAACGAGTTCACTTCCAAGTGAACAACCCGATAGTCTTCTTCTTATCATAGCATACCAACCAGCGAACACCCAGCCAAGTTTAGTTAGCCAGTTTGAGTATTCGTTACACATTAATTCTTATACCTCTTCGTTATAATACATAAAAATAATTATCCTAAAGACGTCACACAACGAGATTAAATATATAAAAGTATAAATAGTTCAGAGTAATCAGTACTTTTCACTCCTTATTACCCTACGTAAAATAGGACGATTAGTTAAGTTATACTAGACCTTTAGTATAATAACTTTTAATAGAGTAGATAGAGTAATAAGTAGGTTTCTTGTTATAAGATTACTATTTTATACTTTAACCTAATCTAATTAATCTAATCTATCTTCTCCGTGGTACGTGTCCTGCCAAGATTCATTTTCGTGTTTGGCGAGCCCCTAATTTAAACGCGTCTCTTTTTATAATAAGAATTAAAAGGATTTTACGGTCGGAGTTCTAATTCTTACGTAGTACTATATATTAAGATAACATTCCTAAGTTTATACAAGTTTCTCTCGACCTTTATAGAAGCTATATTTAATACTAAATAGAATATTTTAATGAGGTTTACTAGAAACTACTTTACACGCCCCTAATTAGGAGAAATACATTCCTCGTGGGACACGTACCACGGAGGAGATAAGTAAAAGAAACAGAGTTTCGAAATAGTAGTATAACCCTATATTTCAGACTTCCGCGTTATATAAAATGGGGGCAACGGAATAAAGTGAAATAAAGTGAACTGTGAAGCTAATTAGTAAAACCTACATACTTAGTATCAACTCTATAGTAACCTTCAGAACGGGTATTCGTTTAGAACCACTAATACAACCACACTACTAGAAGAATTAGGCTTGCCATTATACAGTGGCAGTTACTAGTATAATAGTCTAATCTATAACTCGGCTCTATCTACTGTTTTTTTCTAAGGTCTTTATCCATTCCATTCCATATCTATATATATTAATTACACCTTCCCAAACAAAAATTTAAGACCGAGCGAGGTATAAGTATAGATGATAGATAGAGAGTAATAAGAAAAAAAGAAAAGGTACTTACTTATCTCCTAATCCAAACTAAACTCCCTCCCGAATACCCAAAGGGTTCATATTCCTCCTCGACAACACCCTGGAAACCCGCTCCTGTCTCTACTACATCCATGTTTTAAGTTTTGTCACTAAGGATGTGGTTAGTATACTATTCAGAATCTGGGTTATAGTAGGTTATAGATTATATAGTATAGAGTTAGATTTGGATTTATATTTATTTTTACATCTAACATCACAACTCGCGCATAGCGGCCTAAAAAAGGGCAAAAAAGTAGGTAGGACGCCCACAACAAATGAAAAATAAAAGACTCACTTATTATAGTAACACCAACCACCTCAAAACCCAGCAAACAATCCACCACAGCAATCTTCCCTAACTCCTACAATCTCAACGCCCCCCATAGCTTTCTCAAAAAGCAGCCCCCAATGCCCATAAAACACCGTAACAGTATCACAAGCCTCTCCCTCCCTCTTAGCAAACATACCAACCACCCCATCCACACATGCATCACAAACAACCCCACCATCCACCCATCGCCCTCTGCTCAAAGGTCGTGGATACAACTCGCACCGCCTGGCGCCGACGACACCGAGGTCGACGAAGCCCGCTGCAGGCACGATCACGACAAGGCCCCAGGAAGAAGGGAATCCCAACTCCAGTTCCATCCACGCGTTTCCTGGTACATGATACACGCCCTCGCGGCAGCCGCGAAGACACAAAGATTCATAACGGCCGTCGTCGACGCCTTTGAAATCCAGACGAAACCAAGCGTCGTTCCGAGCTAGGAACCCCAATGGTGAGGAGGGGGAGGGCAGGAGGTCATGGAGTGAGTTCCCTGGTTTGTGAAGCTTGAGATGGAGGGGGTTTCTGAGTGAGGATTTAGGGCTGCGGTCCTGCGGAAGAGGGGGTCGGAGGGGTAGATGGAGTGCCGCTGTAGATGTGATGTAGACGAGAGTTCCGCCTGTGAAGTCGAGGAGTTGGAGGTTGTGAGGAAGCCCAGTCGTTGGAGGACCGGACTATGTGTGCTAGTGGGCAGTGTATGGATATTGACCACAGCTGTGATGGAAGTAGAACGGAAAAAAAGAGTTGGAGTTGGAGGTGTATACAAAGATATACGGAATCAACGAGACGAGCCTTCCCCTTTCACAATTTATAACACCTCTAAGAAATCGCATCAACAGTAGCACAAAAGATGAGTCTGAGAGTATTCTCAATTCCATTCTGATGACCTGTAGATTGGATGAACTAGTCTATGATTCCACAAGAATGTTATACAAAAGCAATATATACATAAGAATCTAGTTATCAAAAGTCGCTGAAAAGAAATCGCAGGAAATGCTCCCGATAGGATCAGCCAAGACACCCCCCTATGCATAAAAATGCTTGAAAACAAATCCCCAAGAACTCCCAACCCCTCCCTATAAGCAAAAGAATATCCAGTAAAAACCCCACTGAATAGAAAAACAGCCAATGACAAGTGAAGAAGGTCTAAAAGAACTCATCCCATTTCGTCGATGGGAATAACCGCTATATGCAAGTCCGACCGCAGGGATTATGCGCCAACAGAACACTGTATGTACAGATCAAGACAAATGTTGTATCGCTAAGGTTACACGACTCCTAACCCTACCCTTGAGGACGGCAGAGCTAGGCATTGTAGAGAAGACTTGGAGGGGGTTTCGGATCTCTTTCCACTAGCGACTGCCCAACTATTTCAATCAAGAACGTAAAGTACATTCTCGCCTCAAAGTCAACATGGTGAGCAAGTCATCATTTGACATGTTCCATACATGTACAAGATCGATGGCGAGACACCAGATGATACTGTGATACGATCGTGAATTACGCTGCACGTAGTACGTACAGCGCTTATCGTGATCTTCGAGTGCCGTGATGCGGCCCCACCTCCCAAAGTAGGAAATGATAAGACCATTTCATGCCTGCGGCTCAGCTGAACAAGCCCCCAACATATAATGGGGAATTGCGGGGGAAGCAGAGGACTTTGGGGATGTTTTAATGTTGGCAAGCCCGATACTTGCGTCATGGATTAATCCACCGCCACAATCGGTATGTGCAGATGGGCATTTGAACTGCTGTTTTCGGACGGAGCTATTACCGCTGAGCAGAAACATATATAGACGGCGTGAGATCTCTTCTCTTTGTAGAATTCTCAATCAGGAACGACACAATTTGAGAATACCCAGTGAGCTGGTCTCAAGTGAGCGTGTCCAATTATGGACGAAAATTTGCGGGGCCCGATATATCTTGCACACTGCAAGCCCATATTCCGATTGTTGCTATACACAGCACTTGCACTTCCATCTTTGGACTCGAAGGTGAAAGTCTGTTCGAAGGGTTGGATTCCTTCAAAATAGCCACGGCGAATTCCCACCTCAGAACAAACAAGAGACATTTGCAATTTCTTCATAGTATTGCCACCAAGTCAATTGTTTTGTATTGGGGAAGCGGTCAAGCATTTCCCACCGTCTTTGAAGGAAATCTTCAAGTGACCTCAGACTCTCGAATGACAGATATACGGATGTGGTTCCAATACTCCTCCGCACCGATTCTCTCTGTTTTGGTAGTAGCGAGTGGGAAGCAGCTATGAGCAAGGGGAATAAGATACAATGATGAAGCTTTTCAGTCAAATCAGTCCCGTCGAGAACTTCAAAGAAGCTTGTGATAGCTTGCTGAACCAATACATGGTCGACGTCTAATCCACTCAGAGCTCGATAAAGATACACTGAGGCGGAGAAGCGATACACTGCGCAAAAGGCTGTCCATGCAGCAGATTGAGGGGCGTATTTTTCGTCTTCTTCTTCTGGTTTGATTTGTGTCTCCAAAGTCAGTTGAATGGATAGTAAAGTTCCTATGTCAACGACCTTCTCTCGAGCCGCAGCTCCCAGACTAGCCAACTGACTAAAAATGGCCATCACTTGGAGAAAATCATCATCCGGTCTGACATTTCCCCACCAAGGTTCACAGTCCCCAAATTCTGTCCAGAAGGAGGGCTCGAAAAAAGGTGCGTCGCCAATCAATAATGAGTGGGTGAGGTCCATGGTAGCGAAGATTGACAGCATTAGGATCGGCAATTCACGTTTTGATCGAAAGACGCCCCGTACACCGGCCCACTGTTTGAGGATGGCCTTGCCTCCAACAAGATGATGGTGCGTAGCGGAACTGTCAGAAACTGGCTCTATGATTCCATCCAAGATACAAAGCAGGACATTGGCAATGAAGAGACTGCCATTTACATCGTCGGATGACACTGCCATCAACTGTTCCCGGAAGACCCTCAAGGCTCGATTTCGACTCTGTATCTTCTGCAAACTCATGCCCATTCCATCCTCGCCCCGGGAAGCCTCATGTGCATTCGCAACTGCAAGCGCACTTTGAAACAATACCGGATCTTTGGCTAGTATTTTCAAATCGATCATCGGCACGGTATTCGTCAGGTTGAAACGCGGGAGGAGCTCGTTCTCGAAGTACATCAGATGGCTGTCGCTATTTCTTTTGAGCACCAGCATCTGTGGCGACTGCGGCGACGGTGAACGCTGCTGCGGCAGAGGGACCTTCTTTCCCGCAAAGCGACCTCTGGATGCCACGCAATCGGTCCATTTCAAGCGGATGGGACCGTAGTCGCATCGAGCACCAATTTTGATGCATTTCGCACAGGAAGGAACGGCGAGATCGCAGATAACGCGCCGTTCTTTACAAGACTATTGCATGCCGGAGGTTAGCCATGACGGAGAAGGGAAGGCTGACAGAAGACGCCGACGCAGGAGCAGGAAGGGTGAGAGGTCGCATTACCCAGCATGATCCTTCAACCGTACGTATTCGAGGCGGCATTGGATTTATAGGAGAGCGACGTCGACATGAAGAGGGAGAGGATGGTGTAGGGTTAATGCTACGGATGCCGTAATGGCAACGCGCGAGAGGGGGGAGAGGATGGATGGAGTGTATGGAATATAGTGGAAGTGGAGAGGGTGAGGGTGAGGGTGCGAGGGGAGAATGGGGAAGTTCGGGGCTTCAGCCTTATCATTTGTTTCAGCTTCCGAAGTTGAGGATATTCAAGCCCCCACGTCAATGGGCGATGCTTTGGGAAGGTGTCGGTGAGGGAAGGTGACCAGTGATGGTGAGTCTCATATATACAATATAAATATATTATATATATTTAGATATAGGGAAGTCAGAGCATATGGGAGGAAGAACGCAGAAAGATCCACTCCTTGAGATGCATCGTCATGGTCCTGTGAGGTGGTGATGGCGATGGACTACCTAGGTAGACGGGAGGTTTCCATGTGCTGGAGGCAGAAGGCAGGCTCGGCAGGCTGATACAGCAGAACGTCCGAGGCTCTCCCAGTACTCGAGTACTCCGTACGTAGGTACGGCGTGCGTCCCTACAGAGTTTTCGGGGAACCTGCGGCACTTTGACTACAGCTTGGCGAGAAGCTAGCCAGGCGAGCCAGGCTAGCGTGGCTAGTACCTAGACTACAGTAGGTACAGTAGACGAGGTGCAATGTACTTTCGTACGAGTAGAGTACGCCGTCGGGGCGCCGTAAAGGAAGGCGCGGTTACCGCACAGTATGGTACCTGGTGGTACCGGTAGCGTGCTTACTAAGAAGGTTACATCATCACCCCACTGGTGACCCCATCGCTCAGCCTGGGCCTCATCGTGATCAATCCAACTCCATCCCGTCAAACGCCTTTCGCAAGAAACTCATGATACCTCAAACTCTAGCCAGTACTACACCGGTTACATTGTTCCATTGCCCGCCGTTATCACATTCCACCATCCGCGTTTCATTGGCCCATCCGATCATCCCTTTGGGACCTTTGGGAGTTAAAACACTTGATATCTGCTGCCTTCTGGTACTCTTGATAAAATTATTGAGAACATCCGAAGAGATGTCTTCATCTAATGGACTATCAAAAGATGCGTCTTCGGACGCAGCGGCGAGTGAAGCAGACTTAGCAAAGGTACGTCTTGGTGACCATCGTCTCAATGAAATGAAAATGCTACCTGGGCTTTGCTGATTCCATCAGGCCATGGCCGAGATATTGCAGTAAGTGCTCTCATATTGCACCCATTCTCTGTCTTGGGTATCAACTCGGGTCGCAATGCAACTCTTCAACCCATTTAACTTCCCAATTGCTCTTACCTCTCTGGTTGTCCAAGCAAACGCAATTGTGATTGCTCTCAACCACTGAACCTTCCGTTTATCTCATGCAATCAAAGCGAACACAACGGGAAATACTCAAAACTATTCTACTTACAATCTTTCTGTGTTCTAGGGGCGAAAAGACTGCAGCCGCTCTTGAATCCAATCTCGACAACCTGGAAAAGAAAATTGATGATTTGCTGGCTAGTTTCGAGGAATCAGAACACCTAAAGGTCGAAGAAGCAAACTCAAAACGTTCTGCTCCGTCCGGGAGTGATTCCAAATCCCCTGATCATGGTGGTACTATCAAAGACCCAAAAGCTTGAAGCGAGACTTCTTGATGAAATGAAAGTACATTAAGGATGTTGGAAGCTCTTCACGGTAAAAGATACGACGGAACGGTTCATCAAGTTCGTGCGGTATATTGCTCACTACCGGCGACTCGAACCCCTTTCTTGTTGGGTTACAAGGAAATTTTGGTTATTCGGATCTCTCTTCTGGCCGATGATGGGGTGGGGGTGAAGGTGGGAGAGAGAAAAGGGCACATTTCGCTACTAACAAAGCAATTCTAGGCGGACCCCAGAAACTGCAATTTCATAGCACTTCAATGAGTATCAAGTACTGCATATTGGAACTATCAACTCAATCATACGATACTATCATTGCGCACACTTTATTGATCTGAACAAGTTGTTCCCAAATTTATTTCTACTCTGTGTTCATGATTCCAGGGCAGATAGTTATAATGCTGCTTTCACAAGTCCAGACGTTCTCAGATAAAGAACGCCTTGCATGTTTCCTTCAATTGGAAAATCAAATGCGGATCCTATATTTGAACAAAGAGGCACACAAAGTCACCACCAATTCAATGCGCAAAATGACATTTTTCCACTACAACAATGCTCACAGTCATAGACACGTTTTATTTTTATTCATCAAGTCACTCATTTGTCGCCAACCACCTATAACTGGGCTCATATCATTACTTCATTTTATGCAACTCTACTCCTTCATCGCGCTTTCGTTCAATCTCTCAGCAAGTTCTAACAACCTCCCACGATGGCGCAACCTTTTTTACCTGTTACACCTTCGAGGAAAAGAAAAACACCCTCATCTACTCCCGAGAACCCCATAACTCCCAAGACACACTTATCTCCTCCGAGGAAAAGTAAACGGCTCGCATCTCCCCAGGACAGTCCATCTCCTCCGAAGACCCCGTCCCCTCCGAAAGTACCCCCCCTTGCTCCACTGGAATCATCATCTTCCTCTGAGGAATCATCGGAATCTAAAGACACAGTCATGTCTCCTGAGAAGAGAAGCAGAAGGCCCTTTTCTCCCCCAAAGGAAAAGTTATTTTCTGCGAAGAGAAAAAGATCCTCGGTTTCTCAGAAAAAGTCCCCATCTCCTCAGAGAACTCCATCTCCAAAACCACCATCTACGGTTCCTCCAACCCCCCCTCTTTCTCCGACAGTTTCTGAACCAGCTGTAAATGTTGTACCACCCGACCCACCTGTGCCCACAAACCTATCTGCACTCGCGCGAAAATACGGGATTGTGCACGTTGATACTAGTGATGAGATGTATATGAAGTATCTATATAACCGAGGGAAATCAGGTGAGGAAAACCCTTGGTTGTACTCGAACCCATCTGCGGAGTTTCTTTTCTCAAAACATGATGGGATTACTGATGGCAAACAGCATATACACCTGTAGATCCCGTTTTTATTGTCAATTCGAGTAGCAAGCCAGAAGAAGAATTCCATTACCGGGAGATAGAACATTATCAGAAAATAATATTTAATGGATTTACGGCGAATGAGTTATTGGAAGTAGGGGCTTATCCGGTATTGGGACAGGAGGAGATTCCAATTGAGGACCCTATTCAGTAGGTTCTTCCCCTCTGTACCTTTCTCTCACTTTACCCCTGAATTTGAATTATGAAGCTAATGTAGTGCGATACAAAGTCCCCTATTTCTCCCACGACAGTGGCAGAATGAAGAAGAAAAGGATTGGAGGGATGGAAAGTTGGTGGATATTGTTTGTGAAGGGCCAGCGTTTAATCATCTTCCGAGATTTAAAGGCAGGTGGATGGCGAGTAATCCGTTGGTTTGGGGGGTTCTGGACCCGCTCTTAAGACTGGTTAGTAAGATGTTGACGGTTGCTCATCTAAACGGTTTTTTATGTCCCTTTCTTCCTCTTCTTCGTCTTCGGTCCTGAAATAATCCATGGTGAGAAGTTGGGGGGTGGCTAATCAGCTATAGATGGATTCCTACCTCTGCGGCGAGTACAAGCCAATACCCCTACACCTCGACACTCGTAACGAGAAGGAGCAACGGGATGAAGGGCCACTGCGGTCCTTCCATCGTCGTCCTGCTCATATGATCGATGACCAAGAAGCTCGTGATACAAAAGATTTCCTTATAAGCAAATTCGTGGAGAAACTTCAATTTAGTATCCGTGATGGAAGACTCGATCCTATTGAAAGAACTAAATTGCACTCTAATTACTACGCTGTCACAATTCCTGAATTCATCCGGGGTGAAGGACCTTATACGGGGGCTGATAAAGTTGCTATTCAGATTAGTCTTCAGTTACTGCTGCCTTTCTTGAGGAATGATGTGTTGGTTGCGGAGAAGATGGCTTTGAGGTGGCTTGCCGCGGAGACTTTTATGCATGAGCTTATGGTAAGTTTTCTCTCTCGTTATCTGGATTTTATTGTTTGCTATGCTGGTGGATTAGATATTGGGGAGGTGAACCCTGCCTTGAAATTTGGGCGAAGACTGATTTGGGATGTTAATGTCTGTGTAGCATGCTATGAATTGCGTCCTAGTGGGCACACCTGAATTCCCTCATATCTGTAGATCGGAACCCTACTTTGAAGATGATAAGTTTTGCGAGCTGGGATATGCGTGGCAAGTAAGTCACCCCTTCCCCATCCTTTTACACTCCCTCACATCACCACAACCAAATTCCTAAAAACAAAAAAAGCTCGACAACACAGGCGGCATCACCCGTATGCTCCGACAATACAACAGCTTTGACCCCACCAAAATCTACCCAGGCTTCGGTCTCATGAACTTCCCCAACAGCCATTTCTCTTGGTTGAGCACCAACACGACGGTTTTCCTCGGCGGACCGTCTTCCGTCTCGGACGAATTTCGTTTCTCGCCCTACCACCAATCTTGGTATCCCCTCATCCACGACAAAGAGTTCTGGACTCATGGAATGAAACAGTTCGGTATGCAACTTCTCAAACCTAGGACGGCCGCGACGATCGTCACGCATTTGGATACCTTTTATGCTAGAGCAGGATATCGGGATCCAAATGTCAAGTGGGAGAAGAGGGGCAAGGGATATGAGACCCCAGCCGTATCGGGGGATTCTGGAAAAGATCAAAATGGATGAACTATGGGATTTGAGTAAGGAGGAGTTGTTGGCACTTCAGTTCCGGGCTAGTGTTATTGCGGAGGAGGAGAAGGCTGATATGTTGGAGCAGAGGCTTAAACATCGTGCGATGGTAGCCAAGGAGATTAAGATCTACGGGGTGTGATTGCAATTAAGACTCAGCTCGTTCCTACTCTCTCTGCTCAAGAGACGGATAATCTGCTGGGGCCGCTTTACTTTCAAGTCTTTTACAAAGCGAAGGATGAGGCGATGAAACTTGTTTTTGAGATTCGGGGTATTATGTTTGATGGCGAGGAGGACGCACGAAGGACCTGAGCATCGGCGATGGGAGAGTATTTTGGTGGACTGCTTATCCGTACGAATCGTCGTTTGAGACTGGTGGTGAGAGATGTTTTGGAGTGGACGGTGGACCGACAGACGGGTTCCTTCCCCATAAATGGGTTCCAGGAACAGATCGCGGATCTGTATCTTGCGTCTGAGTATCTCGGTGGCCTGTTACTCACCATGAAGGAAATCATGACCCTCACCGACCTTGATGAAGATGGACTCATAGCTGCACGACAACGATTGGAAGGCGCGGCGAACGACTTCAACAATACGATGACCGCAAACGCGAGGAAGGAACAGCCAGGAAGGCACGATGGGATGAAGTGTACGGGAAGGAAGATCGGGATGCGGAGAAGCGAGATCGCATTGAGTATTTCGCCATCGCGCGCAAAGGACTCAAAACCGAACAACTCATCAACGCGGATGAACAAACCCTCTTCAACAACTCCGGCTTCGAAATCTGCTGCCAAATCGACGACACGATGCAATCTACCTCCCACGGCCTCAACGACATCGTCGGCCGGATGCTCCTCATCCGCGGCCGTGAACCAGAGTACTCCATGGAACTCCGCCAGTTGAGGAAGAAAATGATTGATGTTCGGATGAAATTGGATTTACCCCCGTATAGCTATAAACGCTATGGTATTTCTGCGTGGGGTGCGGGGACGAGTACGGAGCAGCTGGTGAAGGAGGGTGTGGATCTAGGGACGGGGAGGAAAGGGAAGAGGAGTGAGGGGGAGGAAGAGGTGAGGGGGGATTGTGAGAGTTGGACGGATGTACTGGATGGGATGGTGGAGGGGAGTGCGAATCCGGGGGTGAAGAGGGTGGGTGATGGTGGGGATGGGGAGGAGGAGGGGGAGACGGTGGAGGAGAGGGGGAGGAAGAAGAGGTTTCGGGAGGGGATAATCTTTTAGGTTTATTTACGGTGGGTGAAGGGGGGAGGGGGGTGTCCACCTGTTCCTTTTTTTAGTGAGTGGGTAGAAGGGTGAGAAGGGGACTTTTCAGAAAGTGTACTGTACATCTTTTGTATTATTCGTGATTAGGATAGAAAGGCTTTCCTGGATTAGATTTGTTATACGAGGCTTTTGGGATAATATTATTCTAAGAGAGGTGTATAGAAATTAATAACTATATCTCTTATATATTATATAAAATATTATTATACTAAACTTCTCGTATAAGTGAAATGATTATCTTTGTATACCTAGGTAAGCTAATAGGAAGGAAGCGTGAATAGTTCTTCTAGTTATTTTATATAAACTAATTTAGATATATTTAGTTATACGAGGCTTTTAGGATAATATTATTCTAAGAGAGGTATATAGAGTAACGACCACGTCTCTTACGAAACCTTTTGTATTACCAAGTATTACCTAAACGTGATATAGGGAGCATGCTACTCCCTATAATCATCCACGCCATCAGAAATCCCATAATCATCACGATCACCCGGAAGACATCCAACCCGAAAGGATGAAATTCCATTCAATCACAGTTCCAAACTACCCCGCCACCTTCACCTCCACCCATCCAAACAAAAGCTAGCAAGCTATACGCTCCCTCAAAGACCTGCAACAAAACACAATACGCGTATAGAACACCACCAATACCCTCATCATCCTACTCACTCCTGAAAAAAGAACTCACAACCTCCCTCACCCATAAACCTCAAGTCCAAACCCCACCCAAACACTCCCCCATTCAATCCTTCAGATCGCAAGTATTCGTCGTGCCATCTGAATGGTGCTGTCCACGGACCTCCTACAACGGATGGTTCGAAACATACGTGCCAGGGGTGCATGCTCGCTTAGGTGAGGGACGGCGTGTGTTTCATGGCTTTCGCTTGGGGCTGGGCGTGGATCCTGTTCTGTTTGGGTTGGGAGATAAACCAGGCCAGGGACGTGGCAGAAGCTGGGTTTGGGATGGGAGGGTTGGTTGCGTTGCCCCGCGTTTTTGGATAGAGGGGGGTTCTGGAAGCTTGTTGTGGGGTTGTTTTTGGTGATGGCCCTGATGGGATAGGGAGGGGATGCCAAGACCCTGATATTTCTGATGATGAAGATTGGGATTTTCATACGGAGCTGTATGTGTATATTTGCAATCAGGTACAGGTATAGATTTTCCAACGCGATAAACCTGGTTCTCTATCGTATTAGAATACTCGAGTACAGCCTCACAGCGAATAAAATACAACAGCTGAATCGGGAACCAAATACCGATGCCTGAAGAAACTCCCCAAAGGAGGCCCCCTGAACATATTACCCGCCCCCACCATCCAGAAGTCAGCCTATCCCGGCCTGCCACCACCACAACCCCTTCTCGAACCGACAACACCAAACAAAAAACGAACACCAGAACCCCCCTAAGGCACCGTCAAGATCCTGCACCATACCCAGGTTCATTATGTGTAGAACCAAGCCGCGACGCTCAGATTCACAACATGTGCGCTCGTGGAGATCAGTGGATGCATCCAAGCTTCTTGAGACGAGGGATCAGACGATCGGATCTTCGAAACGCGCCGGTGTGAGTGTCCTTATGACAGCCAGGTAAAAAAAGAAAGGGGATCAGATGGGGACGGTATGTACTCCTCGACACATGCAGGAGGAGATTATCGGCGGGAGGAGATACGGTATATAGATCTTGAGTGCCCACTTTGGAAAACTCTATTGGTTAGGAGGTATCAAATTCCACTTTCTCGTCTTTCTTTCTATTCCTTGGCTTGCGGGTTGCAAGACAGAATCTCTTGCTTTTTATATTGTTGCTTGATACAGTACTTATTGATTATTACTGTAAAAGAACTCTTGACGAGTACATATATTCTTTCAATTCAATAATCCCTTCCTTTCCTTTTTTCTCTTTTTCAAAACTCAATTTCTACAATTCCAACTCAAAATGCCATCTCCATCCCAAAAAATGATTCTCTCCACTTTCCTCCTCCTCAACCGTAAGCTCACACTACCTCTCCCCACCCATCAAATTCACGTATATATTAACGAATCTACAGTCACCCTCCCCGTCCTCTCAGCAGGAACCCAATTCATCACCGGCGCCTGCACATCCGACGCCGACTGCGCAGCAGGCTGCTGCGGCTTCAACACCGCAAAATGCGCCGGGCCCATCATCGCCCTGCAACGCGACGGGGGCTGCGGCTTCGGAAGCGGAACGCCGAATGATAATGCTGCTAAAGCAATGGGGTTTACCGGTGGGATTACTTCAGCGAAAGGTTCTTCCACTGGTGCTGGGACCGGCACTGGTACATCACCAAGTCCTGCTGTTGGAGCGGCAGCAGCTAAGGGAACGCAATTTATTACTGGACCTTGTACGTCGGATGCGGATTGCGCAGCGGGATGTTGCGGCTTCAACACGGGGAAGTGCGCGGGTCCCATCATCGCGCTACAGAGAGATGGGGGATGTGGGTTCGGAGGTACACCCAATGACAACGCCGCCAAAGCAATGGGTTTCACGGGAGGCATTACTTCAGCGTCCAAAGGTACTTCTGGGACAAGCACCTCTGGGGGAACTACACCAAGTCCAGCTGTAGCTGCCACGGCAGCCAAAGGAACGCAGTTCATTACTGGACCTTGTACTTCGGATGCGGATTGTGCGGCGGGGTGTTGTGGGTTTAATAGTGGGAAGTGTGCGGGTCCTATTATTGCACAGCAGAGAGATGGGGGGTGTGGGTTTGGGGATAAGACGCCGAATGATGATGCGGCGAAGAAACTTCGCGGTGCTAAGAGGGGGATTCGAGGGTGGAATCTTTAAGTGATGGTGGCTTCTTTTTTGGGTTACGAATGATGAGGGATTGGGGTTGGTTTGGAGTGTAAGGATTTGGGATACTGTCGTTTTTGGGCTTTTGGGCTTTTGGGGGGTTTTTATGAGAGATGTACTGTACACAAGGGAGTTGGATTATTGGGATGGATTGGGTAACAGAACGAACGAGCTAGAAGCTTGGATCAGTAGAAACAGTATGGGTTGGGTTGGTTTTGGTAGATGCGGTGTTTTTGTGGAATTTGACATGTTACTTGGGTGGATTCAATTCTAGCTTTCTCAAGCGAGTCCTGTATATGTGGAAGCTTAAGCGATGAGATATATAAGGAATGATGTATGTTTCGTTAGCCAATTGATGAAATGACCTGTCTCAATGAAGATCATGATGTCTTACTACTCGATAGAACACATAAATTCAGAAAAAGGACAATGATATCACTACCCAAGTACTTGGCGCCAATTAGAAAGTATTATCCATTATCTTCTATTCTATTGGTATAAAACATCTCGTCACTATAAAAAGCCCCATGATATCTCACGAGTCTCTCTCTAACCCCCCAAACTCAATATCCTAAATACCACCATCCTTCCATCCACCCTCACCTACCACCCAAACTCAATATCCTACATACCACCATCCTTCCATCCACCCTCACCTACCACCCAAACTCAATATCCTACATACCACCATCCTTCCATCCACCCTCACCTACCACCCACCACCCACAAAAGCCAACATACATCCTCACCCATACACAAACCCTCACTACCAACCTACCAAGGCCCCCGCATAATCTTCTGCCTCTTCGCATCCGGTTCAGGTTCAGGTTGGTTTTGAGCTCGACGCACTGTATGCATGGGTATCTGTCTAGGCGGCGTCGGCTGCGGCGCTGTAGAGGCATTCAGTAGAAACTCGATACTTTGCCTGTTTGCGGCGGGCTTACCCATCGATAACAGTTGGGTTGCTGCGTTTGTGGTGTTTGGGTTTGGTCTTGGGATAGAGGGGGGGTCGGTGTTTTGGCTTGGTGAGGATTGGGATCTTTTTTTGACGGATGTGGATTTTTTGGTGGATGAGGGGGTTTTAGCAGATGAAGGCTTTTTGATGGGTGTGGCCTTTTTGATAGGTGTGGATCTTTTGGATGATGAGGGTTTTTTGGCAGATGAGGGTTTGTTGATAGGTGTATTCCTCTTGGTAGCACTCGTTTTCTTGGTAGGCGTCACGACCTGGGTATATTTTATCGGCCGTCCACCATGACCACTCGGAGTAGTTGGAAGGATGGGAATGGGAATAGGTTCAACATCCGGCTTAGGCGGAGTCGGATAATCAATTCGATAAGTGCCATGACACAATGTATACGCAGGATCATCAGGGTCCTGGCAGTACAGCAGCTCGAAGCGAGAATACTTGAGGATATTGGGAAGCAAACTGTTTTGGCATTTTCTCCAAAATGGTTCGAGCGGAGGAGCAGCTTCTTCGGGGGGAATCTGCACAAGATCGATGTGTCGTGCCCTCAGTGGGGTGTTTAGGAATTCAAAGTCTAGTACGGGTTCGTAGTATACTCGTTGGACGTGTCGAACCCAGACGTAGAAGCGATCGCGTGGGTCGTAGAAGTAATATAGCTCGAAGCGCGCGGCTTTTAGTTCGTTGGTTCGGACTCGCTCGAAATCGAAGGGGCTGTTGGGGTCGACTTGAACTAGTTCGATCTTGGCTCCGTAGTAGTGTTCCAGCCAGTCTGCCATGTTGGGAGTTTGGGACGTTTGTCGTGAGGCAGATCGTAGCTTTTCCGCGCTAAGGTGTTGTTGGAGTAACATTGCGGGTAGTACTCGAAGGAAGGAGCAGTTTGTGTGAGTTCTTGCCTCAAAGTGAATCTTGCCTCTACTGCGTGGCCTATGCGTGCCATAGTCGAATAGCGATTCTTCTTTCTCCCTCCTGATCGATGCCAAGAAATAATCTCGATGGAATTGGTGAATTGTATCATTACTCGAGGGTCCCGTAGACTCACTTTGCCGACTCTCATGAGATACGTATGGGCTTCGAGATCTTCAGAACAAAATTCAGCTTTGACTATTGTAATTCAGCGATGTTGAGAGAAGGCAAGTCTATGTAAAGCGATTAATCTTACTGCTTAGCTCTCAGCATGATTTCTGATCATTGTCGTTACCGCAACTGAATTAAGAAGTAATATTAAATAAAGGAAGAGCTTTAACAAACATGATATTTAGGGTTTTGGCTAAACATTATCTATTAGATATAATTACTACAGAGAAGTATAGAAAGGTATTACTTTACAAGGGTTTAAGAGAGCCATACATCTGGCTGTGGAACATATGGAACTATGCACGTAGCGAATCAAACAAAACAGTTACCAAATTGACAAACCTTACGTCTTCCCATGACCAAGACAACTCACCAACAGAAACTATCGTCAAAGAGCCAGTGAATCTTTATGTCAAGGTAGTTTTATTGGGGTTGAAGTAAAGATATTAATACTAACTGCACTACAAGGCTCAAATCACTGCAAGAGGATATAAGCTCCATATTTCCTGCACCCAGCAAATTTCGCCTATCTAGCTCGCCTCTATTTTTTATGTTACTGAAAAAGAAACTGTTATGTAGCTCAGGCATCCACTGCTCGTTCGGATATCCCGGGTGCATCCCTTGAGAGATCCAAGTGGTATGGTATGCACTCCAGTTTCTCTCTCCATAGCAAATCAGAAACCGGATCATTCTGTTTACTTCAGATTCGTTCATGGACAGATATCGCCCAAACCCAAGAGAACAAAAGAAAAAGGAAATTCATACACCAATACGTTTGTGTTCGCCTTATAGTACGCGTAGCCATTGCCAGTCTGAAGGCCCCATCCTATGATTTATTTCCCTTCTTTCCCTTTCGCTCTTCTTCGTAAGATGGTGGTGGTTCTTCGTAAGGTGTAAGAAATACTACATCCTGGTATCTCTGGACTGGCTTTGGACGTAATGTTCGCAGGTTCGGTTGGGAATTTCCAGGTATCGTGTTCCAGCCTTCGGGGCAGATTTGCTCATCGGTCGAAACGGGGGAAATGGTTGATGGAGGCTTGCTGCCGTGTGGAATACCTGCGGTTCTGAACTCTTTCTTAGCGGAAGTATATAAAATGAAATTGGTCAGAAACTATACCGTGTAACGAACATATTCAAGTTTCGATTGTAACCCAGCGGGCTTGTACCAATGAGCGCCTGATTGCCTGGACCCTCGTTGATGCGGTTATAGGCTTGAGTTGTTGGAGCGCGTCCCAACCCATCTGCAGTTCGGCGCCTACCTGTCATATTTCCGCTGTGCAAATCCATGGCTGTATTAGCGGTCGTATAGTTGCTATATCTAGCTGTATACACACCACTAAAGTCGGAACTAGACTCGCGGAAACGCTGATTGTCAGTGGGAAAAGGGGTCATAAATCCATTAGGCTTGCTTGCGTTGAAGTCCCGTTGCAAATTGCGGCAGGATTGATGGTCGAACTGTTGTCTACTTCCAGTCATGTTAAAATTTCTCTTGATGCAGGTGGGAAGAGACCTACTTATATTGGTATGACTGAGGTTTACTTTGAGAATGTTGCATCAGTCCTCGATACATCATGTTCGTTGGTAGCGCCATATCCATTCCGCTCTTGATTTGGAAAGACTTTCGATGAACCATAAATCCTTCGTTGTGCGGTGCGGGGCTTGTTGGAATACTGTCGCCGGAGGATAAAAATCCAAAGCGAGAATCAGGGAGCTTTCGTCGCTTGACGGGCATTGAAGCTTGTTCTAAAGCATTCAATTCATCATCTGGATCTTCTGTTGAGGCACTGCTTTCAATTAGCTATTGTCACTCAAAGATGCCGATGTTATATAGTATACTCGCCGAGAAGCATTGTTCTGGCTCCAACCCAGTCTTCCAAAAGCCGTTGGGTTAAAAGCTGGCGAAAGGCTGTCGGTGTATGAGTGGACTCTATGCTCAAAGTTAGTGCTTTTTTTCTCTCAAATGTTGGAAAAAAGGGCTAACTTACTGTCTTTGAGTTGGTTCTGATGGCTGTACAGATTGACATTGATCCTGAGATGGCTGGGAAAATTTGACATCGCCGAGCGGTGCAATATTTGGAGAATGCGATCGCATGGCATCAGCAATGTTTTCACCAGATCCGGTGGGCAATGTACCATTGGCAACACTGATTCCACTGAGAAATGCCGTAGATGCTATCAATTCAAGAGGAACAACTTCATTCGGTACATGAGGTCTCCAATTAATAACGCAATCGTCAATCTCTAGAGACCCGCCTTCGAACAAGATGAAGGCTTGGATGTCAGAGGAGCTTGAGGTCGTATAGTATGCGACTACACACATGATGGACTTTGTGTCATTTGCTGTTACTCGTAACCAGTCAGGAGAGCAACCGGGCGCGTTAGGGGTATCGACCTTGACAAGCTCAACAATGCCACTATACTTTCCTACTCTCTCGAAATCCAATTTGCCTGACTTTCTGCACATGATACAGTTGATATATCGAGTAGCTTCATAGTATTCGACGATGCAAGCAACTGCCAACAGGCCAGGACGAGTGGTTGGTACTGTGATCGTATCTCCGAGTGAGTCGAGGTGTGCAAGCTTGACCCAGTCGATGGGACGCCCGTATGGATTGACTGGCATGTTTCTTGGATGGCGAAGATATCAGGAGCCAGGTGGCTTGATATGTGGGAGGGTCCTAGTAATCGCGATGAAATTGTTGTGTTGTTGTGTTGTTGTGGTTTGGTGGGAGTGGGGAGAGAAAGCTCACCAAGTTGTGACTGCTTATGTTAAACTCGCAAACAGTGCCGGATTCAAGGTGTTACCTAGGTGAATGAACAGGAAGTGCTAGGCTTATGGCTACGCAATGGAGCGAGAAAGCCCTGCTTTCTGAATCAACAAAACAACAACAACAGGTGTTCTAGTGATTTACACTTGGTTATGGTGTGTTTTTGAGTGCACTATGCAATAGCAAAAGAACTGAAATGTAAACCGCTTTCTTCAATACACATCAGAGTACACACTTCGTGGTCTGTTTATAGGCTCACAGATCAGTGCCTTAGCATCTTTTTCTTTGCCGAGATTGAAAAGGGGTGGATGTCACGTGATTTGATTCTGAACATTTGCGTAACAAATGGAGCTGGTGTAATGCAACACCTTGACATTAGGATTAAAGCAAGTGGCTCTGATTTCTGGTAAGATGTATCTGCCTTGGCTTTATACTTTAAATACCACTTGGATCCTAGCTGTAGAAATATTATATTCTGCAGAGGTAAGTTCGTTACCTAAAAGCAGGACATCTGTACTCGAAATACGGAGCTCAGATAGAGCGTTGGACGAAAGTATTCATAAGTTTATCAGAGATCTTGGGATGCGCTACTTGAATATGCTTGGGGTGTATTCTAACACCCAAATTTTGTCTTTTGGCTGCCATGAGTGGTTTGTATATTGTTGCCAGGAATCATTCCCTAGGTACATGCCTGCCGCATGACTGCCTACCACGTCTTTCAGAATAGCATTTTTTGGCGCTAGCATAAATATTAGCTAGCTTTCTAGCTTAGGGAATACAAGCCTGCTGCCCTGAACCAGATCTAACAACTAAGTAGCAATGCCACATCGATATCACATTAAAATCAAGCACTGATTAAATGAATAGTAGATTGCTATGCTATTTAACTTCATATAGGATATAGGACTGCAAGATACTTGGCCATATCGAGAATACTGCAGGGTCCAAAATAGAGAGCTTTAACAATGTCACCAACCAAAAGCCTAGTAAACACATAACAGACAAGCAGTTCAACGTTTAAACGCATAGCAAGGTGGGGACCTCCAGAATTATTCCCTCTTCGTATTAAGCTGCAGTGTGGTAAAATTTTGAAGCTTGATTGCATCTTTGCCGCCTGAATATTCTCCCACGAAACTCTTGCTAGGGAACGAGGTTACCACTAACGCTAATGTGCAAAGATTTCTCCATATTTATATCTGTCTAGCGTGGATAAAAGTATATTGATAACAAAGTCTCGAATCACAGCTTACTTCATCTTGTGGGGTCGTCGGTACGTGGAAAAAGGGGTCGCCTTTTTCCTGTGGCCGTACTTTAGAGGGACCCAGACAGTTGAGTATTCCTTCAATTGTCCCAACTGAATCAATACTCAGATACTGTCAACTATTGACTTGGAGAGCATAACGCTGCAGATTTATCTTGCTTATATACTGATGAGAGGCGGCATGGTATTTCGGATGGAGGGGTTTCGGCTACTGCGCTTGATGTCAGTACAGTCTTCATCCAAGGTAAATGGTAACTCGATGTCCAACAAATGTCGAATTTAAAATTAGACGAGTGTTTGCTGGCAGAGGTGATTGTCCCTAATCGAGACGTGTTGACCAATTGCCGCAGATACTGTGGAGCGCGCTATGAAAGTCCCATTTCTTGACCGAGAGTTGCGGTAGTCCGGAAAAGATAGGAAGTCGCTAGTGTGGCAATTATTTCGTGAATCAGAGGCAATTGGGCATTTACTCTTGTCATTATGAATCCGGAGAGCGACAAGCTTGATTTCCCCATGTTGTCAAAACCATCATCTTGATCATGTGTCTGAAGCAAGGAGTAGTCTCAATCTGTGTACAGGTGTGGCGAAATTTTGATCGAGTGTCAACCTCGACAAGTAGCAAAAGCCTCTCACGACAAAAGAGCTGCATCATATCCCTACCCCATGTTCTATTTTCTGTTGATATATCTTTCGAGCCTAACGTATATGCCCATGCCGAAATAAGATTGGACGCACTAATAGAAGACCACCACAACAAGCTAGTCAAATCTTCAAATAACGCTTGCTTGGTTATCAAAATTGGTAACCTATGCGTGTGGTCGGGTCAGCCAGTGTGTGTCTCCCAAAGCAACAGACAAATATCCATTTCCTCTACTAAAAAGCGCGCCGGTAAGTGTGATCCAGAAACATCGACAACTTCCCAAAGCGCCAACAAAGGAATGTCCCATAAAGTTCCCAAAAAGGGGTATCGCTCAACGGTAAGTAGTCACGCGTTGCTCAAGACACAATTTAGATAACTCTTAATAAAACCCCTATATGTTTGTCCAAAACGTGCCCTCCCGGCGTCGTTGGGGGAGCCTAAAGGGTTTGTGTTTTGTCGTTTCTTCGATTGCTTCTTTTTGTCTTTTGTTATCTTTTTCGTGAATCGTAAAACACTACTGTATGGTATTATAATGTAAAAAGAAACTTCATAATTATCACGAATCCTGTTTTTTATCTTAATCTGTTATACTTGGGACTGGAAAGGAAAAGATTTTGTTTTTATTATTAAAAGCAGAGCTTAGTTTCACTCTGCTTGTAAGTTTTTGGTTTTCGCCGAAAATCCGCCCATGCCGCAGCGATTCTCGCAATGCAAAAACGTGAATAACACCCATAATCTACTCTACATTTTCTTTTATTTCTCGCCCAAAGCCCAGTTCTCCGGCACTGGGGTTCCGAACACTTGGTTCTTTCGCGAACAATTACACTGTAACACTCCTGGACCCAGTCTCCCAAGTCCTGCATCTTTAGCAAACTCGAAAATCCTCTCGCCTCCTTAACTCCACAAAGCTTATCCCTGACCTCATTTTGTACACCCAATTCATCACCCTTACTCTGAACGTTCTCAACATGAAAAACAGGTTTGCCCATACCCACAAAGCCTCTAAACTTGTCACACTCATGGAAAGTGACACACTGTTCGTTCACACTCCATTGCATTTTATCTTTCATACTCTCTACCATCTCCGCCGCATTTTTCAATCCAATGGACAAGTTTAACGCATGAGCCTCATCGATGAGATAGTTGAGATAGGAGGTCGCGGTGGTCGTACTAAGTGGAAAGCCTGTGTCGGCAGTATAGCCATCTATGTCATCCGGATCTATACCATCACAGCCTAACTGGGCGGCCTGTTGAATTCGAGACTTCATTATGGATCTGATTGTGGGTGAATCAGTATTCACCCACTTCTCGCTGGGCCAACCAACTAGTTCCCGTCCGTAATCTTTTGGGAGAAACTTGTCGGAGTCAGGTCTGAAATCCTCATATGAACTAGCAGAAAAATAACATATAACCTTCCGGCCCAGATCATGTAAGTGATCAATAGTTTCCTTCTGATTCACAAAGAGGTCAGTGTCATAAACCGCCACGTTTGGATTGAAATTCGTCAGTGGCTGTTTAAGAACTATTTGCCATTTTGTTCCGGTTGTAGGTTTCCAATATGTTCCGTTTGCGCCTGTTGTGTTTAAGGGCGGGGGATGGAACGTGGAATCTTCGGATGTGGTTTGGTTGTTTGAGATTGGAGGATCGCTGTTTGCCTTTAACCCTTTTTCTAAGCTCACCGCGAGAATACCGAAAACCAGAATGAGAGTCAATGAGAGGACCGTCCTTCCAAATCTCAACGTGGTTTGACTTTAGGGTGAATTACGGATCAAATGTTTGAAAACTTACCAGTATTTCTTAGACTTACGCTGTTTCCGTACAGAATTGCCATCTTGTAGGTGTAGTAACAAATGCGACGTGACGTGGAACGGGTGACTTTGCCGTTAGACCTCGGATGGTTGAATAAGCGTCGCGAGGGTTTGAGTTTTGTGAAGAGCCTCCCGTTGAACGAGAGTACCACAGCGATGGCAACAGCATGATGGATCTGATGGAGGAGTACTATGTTCTGCCATCTGAAATCACCAAGACCAAGCTCCAGTGACCAGACCTGTAGAAGATGTGGGTTATGAAGTTGCAACGATGAAGTGTTGAGAGATGTAATCCTTTCTAAAAAAGAATGCGTGTCAGCTGTAAGCATCTCCTGAAGACACTTAAATTAGACAACGTGGAGGCCATGCTAAGCGGACCAATTATGTTGATGAAAAATTGATAAGCAAGTTTAAGAGAACGATAGTTGCAAGCAGTGAATCGCCAAACAACGACATAAAAGCAATTTGAGTCGTGTGCCAAGAAGAGATTTCATGGCACAGTCCCAGCAAATTTCGGATGGAAGTAGCCAAATCACTTCATGGTATCACCGTCTCTAGAAGGGCCAGGGGATGGCATCCATGATGCCCAGCTTGTAGATTTATCCAGCAGGGCTGAGGTCAGATTGCGGGGTACAACAGACGGATAGGAGCTTCCTCATTCGAACGCGATACCCCTCAGGCCCCAGGTTATTGCAATTGCTTCATATATTGAAAAGGCTTGTTAGAGGATTTTGGTGCGACTTGCCGAGTTAAACATGCATCGAATGCGTGCCTACGGTAGGTGACAGAAACATCGAGAGTGAATATCCAGGTGCCTGAAATGACTTCGGTTACGATGCATATACGGAACGGACGTGGGCGGATTAGGAACGGAATTATCAAAATTTAAATTATAAATAATTACTTAAGTACTTACAGAAATACTACTCTTACTATTATGTTCTTACTACTATATTATAGAAGACAATAATAGATTGCGATTGGAAATAAACGTTAAATAGTAGTATGTAAGAGCTAGTAAGAATATAATAGTAAGTAGAATATCTAATTATTACTAAATATATACTATATAAAAGTTATTATACTAAACTTCGTATAAATAAAATTATTATATTATTATACCTAGGGTAATTAAAAGTAGGTAGAAATAATTATTTTAAACTAAATAACGTGCATGTATAGCGAACCGGCCAAACAAGCGAACCGGCCAAAATTTTCTACACTCGCGATTGAAATTGTAAGAACTCTACCACAACGCCTCTAATTAAAAAACACTATTCAGAAATTTCTTCCTCAGATACTTCCTCTATAATATTACAGGTGCGCGTATTATGACCAGTCTCTCCGCAGTTGCCACAGCGCCGTGCACGTGATTCTTCCCTCGGCTTCCGACCACTACTTCTCTTTATTTCCTGCATTACCTGCTCACCAACATTTCTATCATCCTGTAGATCCTGCGCTTCCTGTTGACTAAGTGATCCTCCTTGCTGTAGGCGTGTTTTTTTTATCTCTACGGCGCTTACTTAGTACTTCATTTGCTTGTCGAAGTCTCTGGTTCTCAGCTTTCAATAGTACTATCTGGTGCATTACTTTTGATGCACCCTTCGTAAACTGGTCAATGGCCTCGTAAATAGGGG